AGTTATGTCATTATTTTTGAATATTATGATGATAACAACCTGTTAATGTTTAGGTCTGATTTTGATGAATTTCAAAGAAGAAAATATCTGATATTATTTTTTATACACTATAATTTATGATTGTGAATAGAAACTACAAACAGCTGAAAGTAAAAGAAACTTTTGAAAGATGATTCAATTATATGTATATTATGTTTATATGTTGTTGTTTTTCTTTCTATTATCATATGGAAAGATTATATGATTTCATTCCTTTTTTTATTATGTTTAAATTATCTTTTTAATGTTTGAATTTTATGTTAAAACTATATATCTCAGGTGATAAATTTTAATATGCGCATTTTTATTTAAATGAGGTTATAATGTTTCAAATCATTCCATTTATACTTTTATATTATAGTAATATCATATCATCTCAGACGTGTACAGTACTCCCTCAATATAGTTTCGTCATTAGACGAGATGTTTTACTGTCTCAATACAGTTTATGTTTTATTTAACATATTATATGTCATGTATGTAGTACTTTCAAGTAAAGTTTTTATTTACAAATTTATCTTTCTCAAATGTTGAAATTTTTTCTTAACTTAATTCATATATTTTAATAATATGTAGGACGAAAATTTGAATGAATATTTATGTTTAAAATGAGGCAAAAACAATTTGTGTTTTTATTTTAACTGTTTTGTAATGTGCAACAAGAAAATGTTAACTTTATTTATATTTGCATGCAGTGTTCAAAAAAGATGTTATATATGGTGCTACAATAAATTGTTATGTATATATGTTTTTATGTTGTTAAAATTAAAATTTGAATTTTGTTGTTTGTTATTTTGATAAAAAGAAGAAATAGTTAGTGAAAAAAAAATTGGTTGATCAGTCTTTTTTTTGACAATGCATAAAGGTGTTGTTTTATGAGTTTCCTGTTGAGTAATGTAGTTGGTTAGTGTTGGTTTATTATAATCATCACACTTGGATCCTATTTGAAAGTGTTAGTTATTGATAAATAAAAGAGTGATTGCTTCCAGTATAAGGCAAAGGAGATTAATATTACAATAGTTGGTAAATAAATACTAATGTATTACTATTATCTCTTACAAGATTATAATTTGAACAAAGGTCTTTGATGTTGTAACAGAAGTACCTGCAATGATGATAGATAAATGTATGTTGGCATTCATTAAATGTTAGGTAATATTTCTTATGATAAGTGGATGTTATTGACACTCTTTTATAACTTTTAACATATAATAAAAAGAAAACAATGATATATTTACCTACACAAACTATGAATGCAAAATTTCAATGATTTAACTATTGATGTATTGCTTCTTCAGTGGCTCTATTTATATATTGTCTTATAGATTGTAAGTATTTCAATTGATCCATTGTTAGAGTCACTCCTTTGATTGTTGGTTTGTTATTGAGCAGCTGTCTAATGTCTAGAATAATATTGTTATCATATTTGCAGACGGTCACAAAATATTCACCATAAAGTCTAAAGATCTCTAAACAATTTCATGTAGCTTCATATGGTAACATTAAAACTTGGTAGATTATGAGCATCTATGCTATTAGATGAATCAGATAGAGATTTTTCAAAGTTATATATTAGAAACAGTAAGAGTAGATGCTATCAATACTAATATAGATATGGCACTAATCCATTTTAAGATATTTGATATATGAATGTTGTTGTAGTATTGATAGAGGTTAGATAACTTGAAGATAAAGATTAGTCTTAAAATCTTGCATTTTCAGGTATATATTCATTAGAATTTATGTGTGAAAGTGACACGTTGCATTGGTAGAAATTTGTGAAATGATTTACTTTTACAAGTGAAATCGATTATACATGAGTAGTTTATGAGTGGATTAAAGAATATATAAAAAAGAAGATGTGGTATGATTGCCAATGAGACAACTCTCCACAAGAGACCAAATGACACAGAAATTAACAACTATAGGTCATCGAACGGCCTTCAACAATGAGCAAGGCCCATACCGCAAATTCAACTATAAAAGGCCTCGAAATGTAAAACAATTCAAACAAGAAAACTAACGGCCTAATTTATGTACAAAAAAAATGAACGAAAAACAAATATGTAACACATGAACAAACGACAACCACAGCATTGCAGGCTTCTGACTTAGGACAGGCACATATATACAGAATGTGGTGGGGTTAAACATGTTAGCGGGATCCAAACCCTCCCCCTAACCTGGGACAGTGGTGTAACAGTACAACATAAGAACAAACTATAAAAATCAGTTGAAAAAAGCTTAACTCATCAGATGGATACAAATAGAAATACATCTAACAAAATCACAGAGTGGACATGGCCGGGTAAAGAAGTATGCATTTCGTGTATGTTTTAAATGAGAGTGGATTTCATACCTTAACTTTTCAGGGTTGATTCTTTGTGTGTTAGAATAGGGTGGATTACGTTCATTCTACCGTGAAAGTGGGTTTAGGGTGGATTCTTTTGTTCTGAAAAACATAGGGTGGATGTAGGGTGGATTCTTTTGTTCTAGAAAATATAGGGTGGATTCAGGGTGGATTCTTTTGTTCTGGAAAATATAAGGGTGGATTCAAAGTGGATTCTTTTGTTCTGTAAAAAAATTCTTTTGTTCTGGGACAGGCAGTTTATAACTACTGATATGTTTTATTTATATATAAAATTCTTTCAATGAAATATGTTCATACATTTTAACGTCATTTCGAAAATGGCAGCTAACGGATTATTTTTGACAACGGGAATCAATTCAATAACACAAAAAAATGTTTCTCAAATTTTTTGTATTTTTTTTTGTATAAAAGCTCATCTTTTGTTGCAATTTGGACACCGTTAATCAATTTAGAATAGCATAATACACTTAATTTAATTCGATTAAAGTTCTTAAATGAAAGCGTTTCTTCAAATTTGTGATTTTGTTTGGATTGAAAACTATTTCTGCTAAAAAAATTTGCAGAAACGTTTCCCTTTTTTTAATAACAAATCGAAAAAGATCTTCCTCTTATAGATATAAATACTGTTCATACACATTATTGACATCAGATGAGAAATTCGTGACTTTTAATTACGACATAAAAATGTTTACGGACGGATAGTCATACAGTAATTGCTTTAGAGCCCACGGACTAATCGGTATGGTGTTATCTGTAATAGTTATCCTATGAGGACGCGGTGTGTCAGTGTAAGATCACCCGACGGCCGGAGGGTGATCATACACTGACACACCAAGTCTGAGTGGGATAACTATTTTACATCCCAGCTCTTCTACACTAGATGAAAATACATTCACGCTTCATAACATCAAGTTCAGAATGCCATACAATAATTATAATATACTTTATATATTACTATATAGTATATATCCTTTATGAGCCCCGGTTACAACGTTTAAATACGTTAAATTAACAATGAGTTTGTATCCAGTTGTCCCGGTGTAAGGGTATGAATCGTGGCTTCATATGCTAAAGGCCTTGAGTTCGATCCCCTGCTTAGACACTGGAAATTTAGTGGATTTTTCCTACATAATTTTGAAAGTTAGTCTTTATTTCGCTTAAATATTTCTAAGTTTTATTGTGTGTTTGACATTCCCGCCAAAATGTTACAGACCAAAAGAAAGCATGCAGAACAAAGAAACTCAAGGTAGGGTGATCTGGTAGATCCGACTCAGATCACCCCTGTTAGAACAAAGGAGTTGGGATTTAGGACTAAATAACATGATTATTCCCCAACTAAAAGTGAACCGGGAAAAGTCATGGAAGTCCAGTCTCTTGCTATACCAATTACTTAATAAAATTTTAATGTTCATATAATTACAAAATGAATTGAAAAATAAGCGACACCGGATCTTTCACGATCCTTTACACGATCTCATAAAAGTGGTACCCGATCTTTTTAAGCTACTTCAAAATTATTTTTAGAGCCATTGAAACATTAATATACGACATGGTTCAGAGAAAAGAAATTAATTCATTTCTATAATGAAAACACATGTTTGTTTACATTTTGTTTTGTCATTAAAATGTTGGTGAACAATCTGACTATTGTAGATGTTTTAAAAACAGTGATAATTAAACCTGGATTTTCTAAGATGTTGATCATGATGTGTAACCATTTGTACAGACAATGTATTTCCTTCTTCAACATTTGTCCTCATAATTCAATAAATTTGATTATATATTGACCTTGCATGTGTCTTTCCGATAAGATTTCCTTCACGATCCCTTACCAGATCTTTTATGATCCTATCGCAATACTTGACCACCGTTACTTATAAATTCTTTCACGATAATTTTTCTCGAAATACCGAATGACAGCCGTGTATATTGTACCGTTCCGGAGCAACTGATATCAATGCGGTGATAATTTTTTATCAATGTTATTTTATTTAATATTTTGTATTTTATTCTACGTTTAATTTTTAAATTTTATACTTCTCTTTTTAACAATTGGAGAATAAGCCTTGTCGATAATGTAATGAAAAATGTATTAAAAATGATGATATCTATATATTATTCCAAATACTATCTCACGTTCTTCCTTTGTTGACCAGTTGTATAGAAATATGGTCATCTTTGTTAAATCGGAACGTGCATTTGGCTGTGCGGGATGTATATATACGCAGTCACGCCCATTCGAAATGTGGATATTAATTATATCCGATGCTGTATGTTTAAGACCCCTTGTAACATCTATTTGAGGGTCTGTACATGGTGATGGCCTTGTAAAAGGCAAAACTGGTTCCCCTCATCCAAAATATTTTTTTTCCAGTTACAGACAGACTGAGTCCTGACCTTTCCCCGGTAGATACACTTGGCAGAACCTAGTTATTTAAAATATTTGTTAATTCAATGTGTTCTTTTCCTGAATATGAATGAATTATATGCCACAGCAATACTATTTTAATTGAAACATAAAGCTTAATACTTACACGATTCCGCGAATAATGTTAAACAATGTTAAAATAATATAAATAAAGTTCCTTACATATAACACCATTACCAGCATATACCAATGTCAGCGAAATTGAAGCGATTAAACACGTCCAGAATGTTTCATTCATTTTCAGTACTGCAACAACTATCAATGGAATGAAGATGATTAAAAGTGATTAGATTTACTTAATAGCACTATTTTTAAAGTGTTTTTCTGAGGTACTGATTTCTTTCACTTGAAGTAATAAGATTTAAAAAGTGGCATATGCATTATCAAAAAGAACGCCCCAATCTTCTTGATTGATTACAATTTGTTTATGTTCATTTAAATAGTGAAGGCGGAGTGTGTATCTACTAATATATATATTTCTTTTTTTTTGTGCTAATGTGCCGTTTCAAAAAATAAAACGGCGACACGCATGTGAAGGGACTTTAGCTATAGCAAGCCGTTTTATATTTATTCCATTTTCAAGGTATCTTATAAAATAAATAAGTTATCTGATAAACAATTGATATATCCTATAAATAAAATAAGCTATCTTATATTTTACGTTGCCACTGTGGTCTTCGTTTGCTCATGTGTGTCCATGGTTGAACTACAGGTAGAAGTTATTGCATCCGGTTTTTTTTTATATCAACGGAATGAAGTCGTGCAATTATCGTGGCTAGGACGTAGAAGTAACGTAGTAAGGTCGTACTGAGGACGACAATCGCGTAGTAGCATTGTACTATTGTCTTCCTCATCGTAGTATAATCCTATCACTATCGTAGTAGAAGCGTAATAAAGACGTAGTGAAATCGGATAAGTCGCAGTGAAATCGTAGTAAGGTCGCACGAAATCTTTTCCTTTGTCTTTCCGATTGCACCACGTTTCTAATACGATGCTTTTACGCCCATCCCGAACTTACTACGACCTTCCTACGTACGCTTCTACAACGACTAGTTTTGGCCACGACTGCACTACAAATGTTTTGAGCATGTTCAAAGTTGGGCGTGGACCTTCACGACCATAAAGACCTTGGCACGTCCTTACTACGACCACCACAGTTTTACTACGACTTCCAATTTTTTTCATAATTTCTAAGGTCGTAGCGGGATCGTGGTCCTAGTGTGATGGATAAAAGTATGACATATAGTGAGTTTTTTAATAAGGAAAGACATGGTCCTAATCGATTAAAATTATTAAGCTGCTACAGAAATTACTAATATGTAACTGGTAACTAGTAGTCAATATCTATGCCCTACACTTTTACCACATTTTTGCAAGAACAAATAGAAATTTGAATATGTATTGATGATCTCTACTTGAAAGTCTTTTATGCCAACTGCTTACACATGGGATTTGTCAGAATTAGCTTGCATTTTATTAAAATAAAACCAGTCAATTAATTTGGTTGGATTTCCCCACAAAGGTGACTTGGGAATAGAAATATGGTCACCATTGGTCGTTCTCCGACCGGTAGTAAAACCCTCGTCAAAGTGTGGCGTCCGTTCGGCTGTGTAAATCTACATAGTTTTCAAGAACAATATATTGAATTTGTTTCGCAAAGATGGCACAACCTATTATTTCTTGATATGTTGTTCCACCTTCCGTCTCAATAGGTAACCGGTGACTTCCACATCTAAATTTATACAATAAAAATTTACTTTTCAAATTAGCACCAGTTATAAAAATTATATAACATATTAAACATATAGGAGAAGTGTTAATTCAGCTCAGGCAATTCTGCAAAAAGTGGTCTTAAAGTGTAAATTCAATACCTTTAACTGCCCATTTATTTAACAATTGGTTCAACCAGATATTTGACATTCCAAAATTACCAAAAACATGATATCTATTGACATTTAAGACCATAGTATAAAAATTAACCTATATTATTATACTTCATGTCAAAATGCCACATTTTGATTGGTTAATACGAGGGAGACAGTTTACTCTATCCCATGGCAAATACTCTATTACCCTTCACGGAGACGCTTGCTCAAGTGTCCGCTTTAATAAATACGGATGGTTGTTATGTACAAGACGACATAGTTTATTACTTTGAATTTGAAATTTAATAGATAGTAATAACATAACATTCAGTATAAAAAATTAAATAACACATATCTGAGAGGGTGATAGAGCAGGTTGTTACCCCTCGAAAAGACATTGTCAACCTTGGCTTCGCCTCAGTTGACAATGTTTTCTCGGGGTAACAATCTGCTCTATCACCCTCAAAGCTATGGGTTATTTATATACTAGTAATATTTTTATAGTAAATATAAAAATATGAAATGTTACTTTCTTCACCACACAGTAATATGCTTAAGAAACTAACCATAAAAAGATGTGGTATAATTGTCAACGAGACAACTCTCCACAAGAGACCAAATGACACAGAAATTAACAACTATAGGTCACCGTACGGCCTTCAACAATGAGCATACACACTTTGGCATTAAAAATTACAGTATATCTACCCAATTTTGCATAAACTATACAGATAGGCGTAGTCTGTTTTAAGTGTAAAACAAGCTTACAAGATTTTATATGAACACAAATTTCCGAACCATACAGAAGAATAGGTAAAACTATCCTATCAAATGTAGAAATTTAATTTAGCTTGTCAAAATCGATCAGGAATACAGAACAATAATGTGTTGCATCTGCGTAGTTATACAATGAGCTCTGCTCAATAGATTATCTAATATATTTTATCAAAACGTTAAACAAAAGAGGTCCAAGAATACAACCCTGTTCGTGGTACACCTTTCTGGATGTCAGCCCAACTGCTTGGTATGTTGCCGACTTTTATTTGTTGTTTTGTTTTTGATAAATATGAATTTAAAAGGAACGCTGAATGAAAAGCAACACCTTTAAAGTACAATTTGTCAAGTAAATTTCATGAGATAAGCAACCAAAAGCTTCAAAGAGGTGCTTTAAAACTGCGGCAATGCAATGATTTTTATCAAGGGCCTCTCTCCAATCCTTTAAAAGTCTTAGTAGTGTTCTTTGACATCCTTGATCTTGTCTAAACGCATACAAATATGGATTAAAAATAAGGCAGAACAAATCTGACAGTTGAGTTTCTAAAAGTACACCTTTTCGTATAACTTAGAAAAATTGGTAGAACACTTACTGGTATATAATTAGTTTATATTAAAGGATAATTTTTTTTTAAGTGTAGTAACTTGTGTATGTTTTAGTCTATCAGCAAATACACCAGAGTCAACAGATAAATCTATTGAGATAAGAGAAAACTTCATGACTAGACGGTTTCGGTTATAGAAAAAAGTAAAATAACGAAAATACCGAACTTCAAGGAAAATTCAAAACGGAAAGTCCCTTTTAAATGGCAAAATCAAAAGTTCAAACACATCAAACGAATGGAAAATAACTGTCATATTCCTGACTTGGTACAGGCATTTCCTTATGTAGAAAATGGTGGATTAAACCTGGTTTTATAGCTAGCTAAACCTCTCACTTGTATGACAGTCGCATAATTTAGCGGATGTCTTACTATTGGCAGTTACATGTATGCTGTATTTATGTACATTTAGCACAAATTCTTTATATTTATTTTAATGGAAATGGGTTATTTATTTCCCTATATATTTCATAAGTATGAGTAGGCAGATATTTTGTTAAGTTTTTTTTAAATCTATTGTAAACAACCCTTGAAATTTATCATTTTTGTCGCAAGAAAAAAAAGTTAAGATTTTTTGTAAAATTGAAAATTCAAAACGGAAAGTCCCTTTTAAATGGCAAAATCAAAAGTTCAAACACATCAAACGAATGGAAAATAACTGTCATATTCCTGACTTGGTACAGGCATTTCCTTATGTAGAAAATGGATTAAACCTGGTTTTATAGCTAGTTAAACCTCTCACTTGTATGACAGTCGCATAATTTAGCGGATGTCTTACTATTGGCAGTTACATGTATGCTGCATTTATGTACATTTAGCACAAATTCTTTATATTTATTTTAATGTAAATGGGTTATTTATTTCCCTATATATTTCATAAGTATGAGTAGGCAGATATGTTGTTAAGTTTTTTTTAAATCTATTGTAAACAACCCTTGAAATTTATCATTTTTGTCGCAAGAAAAAAAAGTTAAGATTTTTTGTAATGTTAAATTCTCTCTTATTATAAGTAATAGGATAACTATATTTGGTATGTGCGTACCTTGCAAGGTCCTCATACCCGTCAGGCAGTTTTCACTTGACCTCAACCTCATTTCATGGATCAGTGAACAAGGTTAAGTTTTGGTGGTTAAGTCCATATCTCAGATACTATAAGCAATAGGTCTAGTATATTCGGTGTATGGAAGGACTGTAAGGTGTACATGTCCAACTGGCAGGTGTCATCTGACCTTGACCTCACTTTCATGGTTCAGTGGTTATAGTTAAGTTTTGTGTTTTGGTCTGTTTTTCTTATACTGTAGGCAATAGGTCTACTATATTTGGTGTATGGAATGATTGTAAGGTGTACATGTCTAGCTGACAGGTGTCATCTGACCTTGACCTCATTTTCATGGTTCAGTGTTCAAAGTTAAGTTTTTGAGTTTTGGTCTTTTTTTCTAATACTATATGCAATAGATCAACTATATTTGGTGTATGGAAATATTTATGATCTATATGTCAGTCAAGCAGATTTTATTTGACCTTGACCTCATTTTCAGGGTTCATTGCTCAGTATTAAGTTTTTGTGTTTTGTTCTGTTTTTCTTAAACTATAAGCAATAGGTCAACTATATTTGTTGTATGGAAGAATTGTTAGCTGTACATGCCTGTCTAGCATGGTTCATCTGACCTTGACCTCATTATCATGTTGACTATTGGTCAATGTTTAGTTAACTTGGTTAATGTTAAGTTTATGTGACAGTTGTAATAAAGCTTTATATTTAGGACTTTCAACATAATATCAATGATTAGTAAAGAAGGCGAGACATTTCAGCGTGTGCACTCTTTTTTATTTTTATTTCAGAATAAATGTGCATTTAAACTTCAAAGTTTACATTTGTATAGCATAAATTTCATAAAGTTATATGAACTTTTCTTTATTAGATATTAGAGTATGGTTGGGTAGTTATTAAGTGAGGTCTTTTGTCAATATTTAAAAACAACTCTAAAAGTACAATTTTTTATTTCAGAACTAATTGCTAATTTTAAGCTTTAAAGTTAAAACCCTGAATATCATCAATTCGTTTTTATTATGATATTTAAACAAGTATTGCAATTCATTTAATTCACTTGGTTTTTTTTAAATTTCATTCAAGAAG